CTCTTGTCACAGGGGCAACGGGGTCCTGCTGGAGGGAGAGCTGGTGGATGTGTCTCGGCACAGCATCTTGGATACCCACGGCAGGAAGGTGCGCTGCTTCCTGGGCGGCAGCTCGGCGCTGGCTTCAGTCCTTCCAGAAGCCACTCCCTGCTCCAGGCTCTGCCAGGACTGGGGAGGGATCCAGCTTCTTCCCCGAGCGGCACACAGGGTGCTGGGAGATGCGTCCCAACACCACCAAAAACCAAATGTGGCTGAGGACGGGAAGGGATCCATTCAGGCGGTGCTGGGCAGTGTGTGGCCGAGAGGAAGGGCCTGGGTCGTAGCTCAGAAAACAGACCAGGCCCTGGACCCAGAAGTGTGTTTGGGCTGAGATTGGGAGCCAGACAGCAGGAAGGGGTGAGGTGGATGCCCTCAGGAGGGCCTGCCGGTGACTCATGAAAAGAGTGGGGCCAGGATCCTTGCTGGGTATGGGATAGGGAGGGGAGGAGGGCAGGATGGGTGGCTCTTTGTTCTCAGTGTCTAGGGCCTAGACCCCTTCCCTCTGGCCTGGTAGTTCCCACTGCCTCAAAGTAGCAGGTAAGGTCAGAGAACAACCAATGACCTCACCCCTCCTGGGTACCAGCTCTGATCCCAGGCATGTCAGCCTTTGGGAGTGGATTATTGTAAATGTACTGCTATGTTTGTTGTTTGCAACCCTATACAAGCAGGGCAGCTCTTGGCATGCACTCATCTTTCTTCATCGCTGTTTGTGGCTGGGCATCTAGGAATGTCGGGCATTTACAAAGCAGGTCACCTGTGTGGACGCGAACCTCCACTGGGTACACGTTGGGGGCAGGGGGTATGTGAGAGGGCTGCTGTTTTCTGGGCTTTCGTTTCCACTCTGCATGTGACCTCTCCGTTGCTGACAGTTAGTGGCTTCCCATTCCCCTAGAGCCCCTACCGCTTTTGCTCTCTCAGGTGTCCAAGGCGTTATCTCACACAGCCATCTCTTTGCTGACGCTCTCATTGCTGCGCCCAAGGGTCCCTGCCTGTCTACCAAACAGAATCCCAACGCTGAGCACCAATTGAAGGGCTGCCTCCAATGGATGCTGCTTGTTCCGAGTGTCCGATCCACCCCGCGGCAGGACCCAGATGTGTTGACAACGTAATTCATTGGCATCTAAAACTAAGCTCACCCTCGTAGTACCCTGTCAAGGTGGCTAACGGTGCTACACAGAGCCTTTCTCTCTACCCCATGGGAACCGCACCGCTCCCAGCCCTCCACTTCTTTGATGCCAAGAAATGCTTTGCTCCACCCTTCCTGGCCATGCCAATCTGGAGTCCTCAGCCAGCCTTCTCAGGAGAGTCCATGCACATCCCCACACTGGGGCCGAACTCCTGCTAGGGCTGACTTGTGCCCGGGCAGGCAGGATGCTCTCCTCAGCCCCCTCCAAGCTTGCTTCCTCCGGGTTTCTTGTTGGTGAAGCTAGAGCTGAAAAAGCAATGTCCGGTCAGGTTGGGTTCCTCCCCTGGCCATTCCTGACCTCCCTCATCCATAGCCACTCACCTCAGCTAGGTCCTCAGCAACTAGTCTGTCGTGATGGGCTCTCCAACCTGCCCCTTCTGACTGCCCCTCGCTCCAAAGTTCATTCCTGCCCTGTTGCCAACTTATTTCCTGAGAGACCCTCTGGGGTCTATGCTGCTCCGAAGGATTCCTTCTTGTCTACCAGATAAACACCAAATGCCAACTGGGGACCTGCTTCCAACTGATCACGCTTGCCTTCTTAGTCTCGGCTTCCCCAGGTCTTTGCCAAGTGGCTCAAGTTGCTCCACTGTAGGTGGGACTCTAGATTTTTGAGTACCTGTCTCGTGTTAATATTCACTCAAGTCCCTTACCTCTGCAGTAGCAGGTCTTTCTACTCTGAGACTCCACCTTCCTCATCTCTCCCAGGGAGTGGCCATCTCGTCATCAGTCTGCTGGGACCCTTCACTGGCCTGGTTCTTGCTAGCCTAGCTGGCAAATAGCAGCTAGGGTGCGCTTCGCTCTTATCACTGTGCTTGCTCCTCCCCAGGATCTCGTTGAAGCCTTACAGCATTCCTCAGAGCAGACATCACTTTGCCCCTGTCGCACAGAGGATCCTGGAGCTTGGGAGGCTCGGAGTGATTTGTCCCAGGTCACGCCTCTGTTGAAAGAGGCAGAGTGGCCACCTGAGCCCCAGGTCTTTCTCAGTACCTTTCCCATGACACGCTGACGGTATCCACTTCTGCTTTATGGCGTTTGGGGTCCTTCATGCTTTGTACTGGGCTCCTGGTTTTTTGCATGTACTTTCTATCCTGGTCACGTGCAGGCCTTGTGCCCACCCTACTATGGACCTCTGAAACTCAACTCACTGCCATCTAGTGGATTCTGACTCATACCAGCCCTATAGGACAGAGTAGAACTGCCCCTGGGAGTTTCTGTAACTGTAACTGAAGGATTAGAAAACCTCCCCTTTTCTCCTGCAGAATGGCTGGTGATTTCAAACAGCTGACCTTGTGGTCAGCAGCCCAACAGGCAACCCACTACACCACCAGGGTTCATTGTGTGCTCTACTGAACCCGTAAATGAATGAATGAATGAATATTTGAATGGGGGACATCTGCCCAGCTTGAATATCTTTTAGAGCTGAGGTGGGACTCGAGGGTTAAGATGAGGTTGAGGTGGGCTACACCCAGAGCCCAGGGGAGTTGTGTGTGGAGGTGAGCGCGGTGATGGCAGCCTCCTCATTCTCTCTCTGCCTGACCACAGGAACGCTACTACGTGTTGTATGTCCAGCCCAGCAGCATCCACCGCCGCAAATTCGACCCCAAGGGAAATGAACTTGAACCCAACTTCAGCGCTACAAAGAAGGTGAACACGGGCTTCCTCATGTCATCGTACAGTAGGTATCCTCCTACCCTTCTCCTTCAGGGCCCTCCCACAGGACACTCTTCCTTAGCCCCCAAGCCTCTCAGCCCCCAGATAATATCTTCCCAGGATGGTTAGCCTTGAAGCTACCTTAGGACCAGGGTCCTGTCTAGCTTTCTATTTCCCTTCCATCTTCTCCTATAGGCTACAAGACCACCCATGACCTGCCTGTGGACTCTTAACTGGTTATGTGTCAACCTGTCTAGGCCATGATTTGTAGTGGTTTGATAGACACTAAGTAATCAGCCTCCATTTTGTGAGCTGATGTGAGTAGCCAATCAATTGGAAGAGGCATTTATTTCCTTGGAGGCATGGCCTGCATCCGATAGCTAGAGATGTTTTGGCAAAGCCCACCCTTTCTTGATCCTGCATCTGATTTGTCATCGTCTGACCTCCTGGTCTGGGGACTTGAGCCAGCAGCCTTTCATCTGACTTGCAGATTTTGGGATTTGTCAGCTTCCGTGTTGAATTACGGCATTGGCAAAGATATTGACTATACCATGGACTTCCAGAAGAACAAATAAAATTGTCTTGAAAGAAGTAAAACCAGAATGCTCCGTGGAAGGGATGATGTCTAGACGTTTCTCTTGTGTACTTTGGACATGTTATTAGGAGAGAACAGTCCCAAGCGGAGAGCATCATGCTTGGTAAGCCAGTGAAAGAGAAGACCCTCAACGAGATGAATTAACACAGTGCCAGCAGCAATGGGCTCAACCTCAGCAGCTGTGGTGAGGCTGGTGCCGGATGGGGCAGTGTTTCCTTCTATTGGACATAGGGTCACTATGAGTCAGAGCTGGCTCGAGAACGCCTAACAATAACAATGACCCCCAGAACCCTGTGAGCCGGTTGCCTGACCTACTGCTTTGGGTTCATCAGCCCTTGTAACCATGGAAGTCAGGCGAAGCTTCCAGTAAGAGTGGATCAGTAGAGCATCTGCAGACCACTAAAGTGTGTTCCTGCTTCCCACCGCTCCCTCCCTCCCACTCCCCAAACCAGTATGACTCAGGATCTGGAGAGATCCCTGCTTGGTCTCCATGGTTTCAGGAGGAAGGCAGAATTGTGTAGTAAGTTTGAAGACTCACTAGTTTGAAGACTCACTCTTAGAGCAGTAACTTAACCTCTCTGAGCACAGGTTTTTTTCATCTGTAAAATTGGAATCTTACAGATAGAGTAACCCTCACTGAGATTTACTGGTCAGAAAGATACTGTGCTAATACATGCTTTACAGAGATAAATGAGGCAAGGCATCCAGAACACTCAGTCACACAAGACCCTCTGTGGGAGTAGCAGAGGAAGAAGGAGAGTCAGGCATGAGAGGAGGACATGGAATGGGTAGCTGGCTAACTCCATAACAACTGCCCCTTTTGCCATGAGACCAGAACTGGAGGGTGCACAGCTACCAATACTGAACATCTTTGATTCCTCAAAGATACTAGAGGAATCCTGATCTAAACAGAGAATAGATGAAACATAATTTCAAATTCGCAGGGACTCCAGACTTTCTGGAGCCATGGAGGCTAGATGAACCCCTGAGCCCATTGCCCTGAGATCATCTTGAAACCTGAAACCAAACATAGGTATCCCCTAAAATTTTTTAGTGAAGCCTATTTGGAGTAGTCTGATCTATCAAGATCAATCTATATCAGTGGTTCTCAACCTTCCTAATGCTGCGACCCTTTAATACGGTTCCTCATGTTGTGGTGACCTGCAACCATATTTTCATTGCTACTTCATAATTATGTAATCATGTAATTTTGCCAGTTATGATTGGGATACCCCTGTGGAAGGGTCATTCCACCCCCAAAGGGGTCGCGACCCACATGTTGAGAACCGCTGCTCTATAGGGTATCAAATTGACAACAGCTACTCTTGTAGATTATATAAGAAGCATGGGGGCTTGCAGTGAGTTTATATTGATGCAGAAGGAATAATTGGGGGAAAAGAGGCCGGGCATGGCGCCACAACTTGAAGAATGTAATCAATGTTACTGAATTGCTGGTTTGGGGTTCCAGTTCATACAAGCCACGACTGATTGCAGATAAGTTCTCTTAGTAATATAGTCTTAGTTTCATGAGGATATCTTCAGAAAAAGGGATACTTCTATGTCATGAAAAACAATTTTGAGGTCAGGGCTAATATAAAATTTTTAGCAAAACTCAGATGAGCATCTTCTAAAATCACCGAAGCTTTGTAACAGGTTGGCTGTGCTCTGTAAAACAATAGTTTTCAGAAGCACCAAGCATTTTGAGGCAGGCTGGAAAAACCTACGAAATGAACCCAAAGAGGGAAGACGGTCAATCCAATGACTGACAGAACAGTGTCTGAAGCGCGGAAACGGGTCGAAGACCATAGAATGACCATTGTTATAGTAGCTCTTGGAGTTGAGCTCTCACCGGGCTCGGCATTTTCAGTGGTAAGTGAACATCTTGGCCTCAGCCGGTTTTGGGTTGAGCGGTTTCTAAAAGCACTGCATGAAGATGAGCTAGCTCAAAGGGCTGACCTTTCCATCAGTCTTTTAAGCAAAACTGAAGCTCCTGAGGATGCTTTTGTGGAACAAACTGTAACCAGGGACGAGCCTTGCAGCTACCAGTGCAGTCCCGAGAGGCGTGCACCTGTCGAAACAGTCGCTTCTGGGGGAGCTGCAGGACCAGTGAAATGAAGGCAGAGAGATCAGCTGAGAGGTTACAGTGCCGGACATCTTTGGATTCCAAAGGGGTAATCTTGGTAGATTTTCTCAGAAGACCTGGTGATCGTGGGACTTATTCTGAGGAGGATTTCAGAAAATTGAAAACCGCAGTGGCGAGGAAAAGGCCAAGGAAGCTGGACCGAGGGATGCTTTTGCCCATCAGCCACGCGGCTGCTCCATCTTTGAGGGTGGCAGGACTGGCTCATGAAAATCTCACTGGGGCGCCTTATCCCATCTACCATGGCCCTACCCTCCGTCTGGCCCCTTCAGGCGTCTTTTTGTTCCCCAAACTCAAAAGCACATTTCAAGGAAACATGATTTGAGTCCCCAAGAAGGCCAAAGCTGCCATTTTGCCCTGATGTAAATCAAAGAATGCAGAATGCTTGGGAGATGGAAGCACCACCTTCAGAAGAGGGTAGACCTAAGTGTGGATGACATATTGAGAAGACAGCACCTTCGCGATTTGATGATTCTCTTGAATAACACTTTTTATGACTTTATAGCAACGGTTTTTGACTTACCTTCATATTCTCAGCAACAGAAATCAAAAGAAACTTAAAGGGGACAAAAAGAAGAAAGAAAAGATAAACATAAGCCCTTTACAAGTACTTCAGGAGTCTTGGTGACATAGTGGGTTATGCAATGGGACACTAACCACAAGTCCAACGGTTCGAACCCACCAGTCACTCCAAAGGAGAAAACCGAGGCTTTCTGCTCTTGTAAGATTCACAGCCTCAGACAGCCACAGGAGCAGGTCTCCCTGCCTTGTAGGGTAATTATGAGCCAAGCTTGATTCGATGGCAGTGAGTGTGTGTTTTTGTTGCTGTAAGTGAATTGATAATAACCCGTCTAATGCTGTATATCTGCAGAGGTAGAAGCCAAGGGGGACACGGACAGGCTCACCCCCGAAGCGCTGAAGGGGCTGGTCAATAAGCCAGAGCTGCTTGCACTGACAGCAAGCCTCACTCCAGACCAAACCGTGGCCTTCTGGATGCCTGAGGCAGAGATGGAAGCGATGGAGCTCGAGCTGGGGGCTGGGTTACGGCTGAAAACGCGGGGAGATGGCCCCTTCCTGGGTGAGCGGCCCAGCCTTCATGCTGACGTAACTTCTCGTGCGGGAGATGAGGACGCCTGGTCCCCTCCTGAGCCTTTCCTCAGAGCTCGTGGCCCCGGGCTTGTCCAGTCTCGGTGGGCCCCAAGTTCCTTGATATTTATTTTAAAATTCCTGGGCACATGCCTTTGGGGTCTTGGCCTGGATGCTCTGGATTCCAGAGTGTTGTCCAAGCCCATGGTTCTTGTCGGCGACCTTATAGCCTAGTAACTCTAGTGCAGTAACTCCAGTTCTCAACCTGTGGGTCGTGACCCCTTTGGGGGGTTGAATGATCCTTTCACAGGGGTCGCCTGATTCATAACAGTAGCAAAGTTACAGTTATGAAGTAGCAACGGAAAATAATTTGGTTGTGGGGTCACCACCACATGAGGAACTGTACAAAAGGGTCGCGGCATTAGGAGGGCAGAGAACCACTCAGGGACTCCCTCACCACACCCTGGCCGAGAGAGTCCAGAGGACAAAGGCTGAACCCAGTCCCGCAGGACCCCCCACCCCTAGACCAAGCCCTCCCCGCCCCCGCAGTGCTTCCCACGCAGGGCCGAAGGCCATTCAGCGTCTTTTCTTTCGTCAGAGTCACTAGCCAAACTGGAGGCAGGAACCGTGACCAAATGTAATTTTGCCGGCGATGGAAAGACAGGCACTTCCTGGACAGACAACATCATGGCCCAGAAGTCTCCAGAAGGGGCCACAGCGGGGGCCCGCGAGCAGGGCGACGGCGCTGAGGACGAGGAGTGGGTAGGTCCGGGAGCCGGCTGTGGACCTGGCCTTGGCGGGCTCCTCTCTCCGGGCAGTGCTGTGGGGCGAGGAGAGGGCAGCAGGCGCGTTTAGCGGTCGTGATAAGCTCCTCGTGGCATTCCGAAGCCTGACAGCCACGGGGAGGGGCCCCCGGACCGGCGGTGTCCCGTTCTGCGGCGCGTGGCGTTGCTGAGTCAGATTGGACTCCGGGGCCCCTGACAGCCACGCGCCAGGAAAATTCCTACAAGGTCCGAGGGCACACCCTCCGTCTCAGTATCTGCTGCTGCCCGAACAGAAACCCCATGTATGTGCTCCCCTTTGGAGGCTCTACATCCAAACCGGGCCCCAGCAGGTAGACCCCTTCTGTGAATCTCTCTCAGTGCGCAGCGTCCACTGACCCTTGTTGGTGTCCCTTGGCATGTCTTTGCATGAGCGCCGCTGCTTTTGTAACTCAGAAGTGATTGGGTTTAGGAACCACCCTACATTGGATTTTCTCATGAACATAAGAACAGGAAAGGCAGGTTGCATCCACAGAAATAGATGTCGCAGGGGATACAGTTTAACCTGGAGCCTTTCTGAACTGGGTCTGTCTACACGTAAGCCCCAAAGACGTATAGAAGCGAGGAGGAGTGGAAGAAAGGGGTAGTGAGGAGAGCCAGCGATGGCCAGCAAATCTCTCCAGACATTTTCTCTTCCAGCCATTGCGTTAGCCGTGCTGAGCCATGGCGCAGGTGAATGAGTGATTTTTCCCACCTTTGTCCTCGCTTCTTGTTCTAAGTAGCTGGGAAGTGGCTGGGTTGCATCTCACTGTTTGTCCCCGGGTCAGCCCCCTGGTTTAGCTTCAGGCTGCAGCCTCTTCACAGTTGGGTTGTTTTCCTAAACTGTATTTCACTCAAAGATTGGAATCGCTATCAAAGGCCCCTAATTGAACATTAAAAATAAAAATGTTTCCCGGCAGGAAAATGAGCCATTTATCTAGGTGATGAAGATGTGTTTTTTTGGCCAGAGAAAGCAAGGGCAGATAGAATTGAGGGTCTGGATTCTCTTTTGTGTCGGGAATGTGCATCTGGACTAAGTGTTCTCTCTTCCTGTCTCTCCCCCTTGGGTTTCTCCAGGATGCCTGAGGTTCATGGGGGACAGCGGGCCTCCAGGGCCCCACCAGCACCTCCTGTGGCGCTGTTGAGAGGTTCTTCCACCCACTTCCACGCTGGAGCTGAAGGCAAAGAGCAGTCCACCTGAATCAGCCTTACCTGATCCTGCCTACCCCCATCTTGGAACACCCTTTGGATAAGCGCTCAAATCGAACCCAAGATCGAACCCAAGGGGCCCATACAGTGGCTCAGGGAAGGGCCCTCCCTGGGCAAGAGTCTAGTCTTCTTAGACCTTTTCCATCCTGGCCCGTGACCTGGGCCTTATTTTGATTTTAGTATATGTGCTGCCGAAGCGAGCACAACCTGGGCCTTATTTTGAGAGACAGGTGGTAGACAAGTCCTCTGGGGCAGTCTGAGATGAACTGGCTTGGTCTTGGTGCAGAGTTGGGGGCATCCATTGGTCAGAATGGTGGGGGGAGTTTCCAGGGGCACTTTTCTCTGTGCATGTGATTCTTCCCGCTTTCTTTCCACACCCCTACCCTCTCTCCAAGCTCCCACCTCCTTGCTCCTGTCCCAGCGTCCTTCCACTGCTCCCATGCCCCCTGGAGTTTCCTGTCTGCTGCCTCCCTGCCTGGACTGGTTCCTGGTGAGTGCTGTTCTCTGGGAGGCCAGCAGTGCGCTCTCGTCGCTCACTCCCCATCTCTCAGGCTTGCTCTGCCAGGCTGCGTTTTTGATAACACTTCTGTTGTTGTTTTGTGCCTTGGGAACTTTTTAATAAACGAGTACATTTTCAGAAAAGAATTCTTCCAGCGTGCTGAGTTCTTGTCGGGTGTAAACAGTCTTCCAGCTGAGTAGCGTCCCGATTGGAAGGTCTCCCATTTCTCGTTCTTGAATTTGACTTGCTGGCTAGTGTACCCACATGCAGATCTGAGGAGCGAGAGGGAACTGAAGTGCATATGTCCTAAGGATGAGTAAGGACTTGGGGCATGCAGATGGACCTTGCTTGACTTGAGGAAAGACAGAGGGTGGTGCTGAGCTCACAACGATGGTGAATTACGATTACAGGGAGCCGGGTCATGCTTTGGGCTGCTAACTCCAAGGTCAGTCGTTACAAAACTGCTCCTCAGGAGAAAGATGAAGGCGTTCTCCTCCTGTACAGCATTACAGCCTGGAAGCGCTATCCTGCCCCATAGGTCATGGTGCTGTCAATCAGGTCACAGCTTGATGACCTCATTTATAGGTGCGATGGAGATAAATAGCTCACTGGAGGCAGGATAAACCCACTCTCTGCTTTGTATTCCTGATGACAAGACATGGAGTTATGCTAGAGCCCTGGAGCTGGAGGAGGCACATGGAGACCCCTGCCAGTGCTGAGATGCTTCTACCGCCACTGGATCCACAAGACTTCCCACCCACTGGCCTGTGATCTTTCTGCATTAAGCATCATTGCATGTGTTTCATGAATCTGAAGAGGAATTTATAGATCAGTATTGGACATATGGACTAATATCAGACTTATGGACTTGATCTTGACTTGGCTGGGATGTTTTCTTAATGTACGATTGCTCTTTGATATAAAGCTCTCTCTTACACACATATGAGTGTCTATGAATTTGTTTCTCTAGTCTACCTGGACTAACCCAGTGAAGCAAGACTTCTGCTCCTTCCCTGCACTCGTTAGAGTGTTGAAAAGCAAAGGTGTTCCTTTGAGGACCAAGGAGCGCCTGACCCAAGCCATGGTCTTTCTAAATGCTTCATATGCCTGTGAGAGTTGGGCACTGAAGAAGGAAGACCACAGAAGAATCTACATGTTTGAACTGTGGTGCTAGAAAGGACTACCAAAGGTACCACGGACTATCAAAAGGACAAACACGTCTGTCTTGGAACAAGTATGGCCAGAGTGCTCCTGAGAGACAAGGATCGCGAAACTTTGTCGCGCATACTTTGGACATGTTGTCAGAAGAGACAAGGCCCTGCAGAAGGCCACTGTGCTTGGTGAAGTGGAGGGGCAGTGAAAGCGAGCAAGGCCCTCGAGCAGACGGGCTGACACAGTGGCTGCAGCAAGCATAGCAAGAACGGTGAGGATGGCACAGGACAGGCCGTGCGTCATTCTGTCATGGTCAGCGCAGGTCGGGACTCGATGGCAACCTGAAGTCAGGTCATTGAGAAGTAAGCCTCTCCTTGCTTTGCCTTTTTCATAGTCCAGATCCTCCCAGTCTCTCAGGGGTCTTAGAGCTGCCCCGAGGCTGGGACCTTGATTGTGGGAGAGGGTTGAGCGAGAGGAGGACTGGGGAGCTTGGAGCAGAGGCACCAGTGGGGGGTATGGCAAGTTCTATGGGCAGGTGACCATCCCAACTACCAAGGACCAGCCTTGGGAAAGTCTGTGGCAACACAGCACATGATCTCGTGGAGAGGCCGAGAGGAACGGCTACTGTGGCAGGAGGGTGGAGAATGAGTAGAGTTGGAGGTGGGCAGGGCACCTTAAGCATGTTCAAGATTGGGCCTTAACAAATGATCCCATAGAGCAGAGGTGGGGGATGTCAGGCCCGTGGGCCAGCTAAAGCCCATTAAATCGTCAACACGAGCTAACCACATGCTTCACCCCAGAAAAAGCAACCCCAGCCATCACATTAGGGATGAGCTCATAAAATGTTTGACTAGTGTGGCTTGCGAACCAGGTTAGAAATATTCAACTGGCGCTTGGCAGACAAAAGGTTTCCCATCCCTACTGTAGAGGACGATGTGTTTCTGAGGTCATGTGACTACAGGGAACAAAACTTCCCGTTATCCAGGTTGGAGGTTTCAGTGGTTGGTTCTATAGCTGTGGCAGTGGAGGTGGGAAGAAGAAATGATTTGAGTCTTCAGGGCTGAATCAGCAGGACTTGGGGAGCAAGATGCCCAGATTCTGGGTGAATGGAGGTGCTGGAAGGTTTGGGGGCAGGGGGGTGCCGGGAGAGCCATCGTTCCTGTAGTTCTAGGAAGTACAGGGAGTCGAAGCCAGCACTCCCTGGGAAGGGAAAGCCCAGTGGCTTGGGGGTAAGAAGTAGGGTGCTAGGCTTAGCAGGTGAGGCCACTGAGGCAGAGTCCCACCCTGGGACTAGGAAGTGGGGAGCTGGGGAGCAGCTATGGCTCCAGCCGTGTGGGCGTCCAGGGCTCTTTCTGGCACTTTGGGTAGAAGACCCGGTGCTACCAAACCCAGCCTCAGGCTCCCACGGAGATGGTGAGGCCGTGACCTCTGACTTCTCACCTTGGCCTCTGACTTCTCACCTTGGCCTCTGACTTCTCACCTTGGTTAGAACTGGCTCAGGTATCAGGCAGGCCCAGCTCATGGGTGGAGCATTATTAGATGCACATCTCAGTCAGGGAATCAGGCAGGGGCTAAAATCCTGTTCCAGGGCACCCCAGATTACGGATTAGACTGTGCTCCCCACCCCCACCCCGCCCCAGATGGATGTTAAAAATCCTAACTTTGGTTGTTGTAGGAGACAAAAGAGAACACACACACCCAGCTCTCAAATATTCTTTACAGGTAACCTTTGTTTAGCATTAAAGAGGACAAAGACAAAGTCCCAGCCATCACCTGGGTGAGGGAGGCCATCAGCAAGAGATCATAATGGAATTGGCATCTTGAATAGTATATAGGAGTTGTTTGGGGGCACAAGAGACCCCCAATTTCAAACAGAACTTAATAAGAGCATTCAGGAAGTCCTGAAGAGGACGATGAGGGAGCCCCTTCAGACGAGATCGTGGTGGCATTGGCGTGTTTGCTGAGATACCGAGCTATAAAACGGACCCGCGAGGGCAAAGGAAATGGCCAGGCAGGCATTCTGTTGACAGATCAATGCCTCCTAATTGGGGCTACAGTGGGGCAACGACATGAGCCTGAGACCACGTTGGGGCACTTTCGTTATGTTAGGAAGATTAGTCTAGGGCCTTCCTACCAAGGCAGTCGGGCATGGCAGGCAGAAACCCCCATCAAGGACAAACCCGGGCAGGCCCCTACCGGAGGCTAGCCCTCCCTGGGCTGGCTGGAGAGGGAGTGGAAGTAGTCTATGTTCTAATGCACCCTGCCTTTGGGCAAGACCCGCCTCATCCCTGGGTAATGGTCAAAAGGGATTCAAAGGGGCCTTAATTCCTGTGGGGACTCTGTAAATGGATTGTGGGCCTTCACTGTCATCCAGAACCTCAAGCAAAAGGGTTGCTTGAATTCAAGCTCTAAGACAGAGGGCATAGGAAACCGTCACAAAAGCACAACTGGTGGCCCATCAGTGCATACCATCGCGGTTGGGTGGGACCATAGAAGCAGGACTGGGGCCGTGACGGGACACTTACATTATGTGAGACAGAAGAGCTTACAAAGATTGGCTTAGGGCCTGCAGATCAAGGCAGTCAGGATGTTACGCATGACCATACTACCTTAGTACCCCCAAGTTCCAACAAGGACCCTAACCAAGACGAGACAAGACGCTGCCGTTGAGTGGACTCTGACTCCTAGTGTTCCTATAGGACAGGGTAGAACTGCCCTGGTGGGTTCACACTGCTCATCTTGGGGTTAGCAGCCCAAAGCATAACCACAATACCACGAGGGCTCCTTATCCATGAAGGACACACCCAGGCAATTCCCTAACAACTAGACCGACCCCTCCCAGGACTGGTTAGGGGAGTGGCTGGAATCTACTTTCTAGTGCACTCTGCCTGGGGGCAAGGCTGTTCCCATTGCCAGGTAAACATCAGAAGAAATTCAGTGGATGTTTAATCCATGTGGAGACTCAAAAATGAATGTGGGGCGATCACTTTCTGTGAACCCGGTGCTCAGAATTTAAACTGGAACACACCTCTTTGCCATGAACACACCACAATTCCATTTGGCTATCGGTTATCTCTGAATGAGACAGGCTTGGTCTGGAGTGTGGCTTAACCTCTTTTGAGATATAACGCAGATTAAAGGAGCAGAGATTGGTGGGACGTAGATATCCTAGGAGCAGAAGCTCGGAGACTAGGACGGTCCTCTAGAACGGAAACCGAAAATCCAAACTCCCTGCCATCCAGTCAGTCCTGATTCCTAGCCAACAGAGTCCGCCCCACCCCACCCCACCCCACCCCCTGTGGGTTTCTGAGGAAGTGCAATGTTAGGACAGACAGCCTCATCTTTTTCTCCATGCTAACTGCTGACTTTGCTTTGTTAACATTGTTATTATCCACAAACTTAACTTTAATAATACATACATTTATACTGTATGCATATGTAAATAAGTTGTTAAAATATTCTCCTATTTCAGTACATTTCAATTGTTTCCAGTTTTTTGTTTTTGTAAAATGTCAAAAACATATTACAAAATGTCATTCAACCAATAGCTGGGATGTAAAGAAAACCCCCCTGAAAGCCTGGCCTCTCAAGGCCCATTCACTGTTAGCGTGAGGGTGATGGGGAAGGCCCGGCCTTTGCAATCCAGTCCTGGCCACAATGCTGATGAGACCGTCTCTTAAAGAACAATGGACCGCTTTCCAACTACTGTCCAAGATGGTCTCTGGGGGATACAAAGGGAAAGAGTGTGATTTCTGAAACCCCATGGGCAGGGGGCGGGGGAGACTCTGGATCTTCCATGGTATGTTTGCACAGGCTGGTTCCAGGGTGATGTCCCACAGTGCCCATCCGCATCAACGTCACTGTTCTTTCTCAGCTACACCTGGATCCCTCCCACCACAAGGGGGCACTGCGAAAAGATCAAGAAACCCTAACCACAGCACCTCCCTTCAGGAACCCACGCTGTGCTAAATGAGGTGACACAGCCTCCCATTCC